CATGTGCCACGTGTGCCTATGGAGGCCAGGAGTGGGCATCAGATACCCTGGACCTGGAGTTACAGTCAATTTTGAGCCACCCAGTGTGGGTCTGAGAATTGAATTCTGGTCCTCAGGAAGGACAGCAACCTTAATGGCAAAGCCATTTCTCCAGCCTCCAGTATTTATTTTCTATGTATCTTTCTACGGCAACTCAGTGAATAATAATACTATTCACTGAGATTGAGAATGTGGGAGATGAGGAGCAGCTGCACGGAGATTGAGTCTTCAACCTGCTGAGTTTGTGGAGCCTTTTATCAGTAAGAAGAAAGGTAATATGCAAAAGGGCCTAGTCTTCAAAGCATAGATCTGGGCTGAAGATATAGTCCTGAGAGTTGTCATTGTATCAGTGGAAAAGGAACCTGTGGCATGAATGAATTTATCTAGGGGGAAATGATTGAGAAGAGAAACTACAGTAGGATTTGAGAAACTCCAACATTTAATGACTGTGTACATGAAGTTCGTTTATGAAGGGGGGGGGGTGGCACATGCCTTTAATCCCAGCACTCCAGAGGCAGAAGTAGGCAGATCTCTGTGAGTTCAAGGCCAGCCTGGTCTACAGAGTTTCACGACAGCCAAGGCTGTTACACAGAGAAACCTGTCTTGAAAAACAAAAACAAGCAAACAAACAAAGTTTGCTTAGTAGGACTGATTGTTCAAATTGTACGCATTCTAATGAAAAGCTTGTCTTTAGGCTTCCTGGGAAATAACTTCTGAGTCCTTGGAATACTCTGGTATGAGTTCCTGTCTGCTTGAAGAAGTGGTCACAGTGTACATTTGACCTCTGGGAGAACAGAGTCTGAGTAGTTGAGATATCACAAGGGCATTGCATGTCTATGGGACTGATTCCCAATAAAGATTCTGACAGCATGTCTTGGGTGAGCCTCCCTGATTGGCAGCACAATATACATGTTGACACATATCATTGTTGGGGGAACCAAGGTAACTCTAACATGAGAGGATACCTGGAAACGTTGAGACTTTGTTCTCCATGTCTTTTGCCTTGGATGATTTTTACCTATACCTCTCAACTTTAATAAATTATAGCAGACTTTTGAAATTGTATAGGTTCATTCAGCAAATCACTGAGCCTACGCATGGTACCGGGGCCTCTAACAGTCTGTAGCACAGAAACAGCAGTTCAGGTGGCAAGAGGAAAATCAGGAGAGGGTGGTATCTTGAGAGCCAAGAAGTGACTCCTGAAGAGGGAGACAGCAACAGTATTAAATCGCTTTGAGATGACAGTTAGGAGTCAAACATGTACACTTAATGCAAATATATGGAAATAAACCACAGTGTTGGAGAAAGCAGTTTCGGTAGAGTGATGTGAGTGGAAATCTGGCCAGAGTGCATTTAGACATGAGTGGAATATGAGGAAATAGAGATCTTTAGAGTGAGAAATGTGAAAAAAAAAAACTGAAAAAAAAAACTACTTGGTTATTCATTAATTTTTTTTTAAAAATAAGGGCTCCTCTTTCTCCACATCCTCTCTAACATTTGTGTTTAGATTTTTTTTTTCTTTTAAAGATTTACTTATTTACTATGTATACATGCCAGAAGAGGGCACCAGATCTCATTACAGATGGCCGTGAGCCACCATGTGGTTGCTGGGAACTGAACTCATGGCCGCCAGTGCTCTTAACCTCTGAGTTATCTTTCTAGCCCCATGTTTAGATTTCGTGATGATAGCCATTTTGACTGGGGTGAAGTGGCATCTCAAAGTAGTTTTTATTTTCATTTCCCTGATGACTATGGAAGTTGAACATTTTAAAAATTAGTTATTGGCCGGGTGGTGGTGGCCCACGCCTTTAATCCCAGCACTCAGGTGCCATAGGCAAGTGAATCTCTGTGAGTTCCAGGCCAGCCTAGTCTACAAAGCAAGTTCCAGGACATCTAGGGTTGTTGCACAGAGAAACCTTGATTCGAAGCAACAACAACAACAAAAGTTATTGGCCATTTTCTTTTTTTTTCTTTTTGGTTTTTCGAGACAGGGTTTCTCTGTGTAGCTTTGCACCATTCCTGGATCTCGATCTGTAGACCAGGTTGGCCTCGAATTCACAGAGATCCACCTGCCTCTGCCTCCCAAGTGCTGGGATTAAAGGCGTGGGCTACCTCCGCCCGACTTTTTTTTAAAGTATCTATTAGGGGGTGGTTTGGGGAGTGAAGGCTGGGAGGGGTGGGAGGAGAAAAGAGGGGGTATCTGTGGTTTGTACGTAAAACGAATAAAAAATTTCTTACCAGAGGGAAAAAAAAAGAAGTGTAAAAAAGTAAAATAAAAATGTGAAGAATAAAAAAATGTATCTATTCATTAGCCCCTTTGATGACTGGTCATTTTCAGTTGCTTGATTTTTTTTTTCTTTCAGTTTTTGGTAGATTCTGGATATTAGCCCCTGTCTGAGACATAACAGGTAAAGATTTTCCTGTCATTCTGTGGACTGTCTTTGTGCTCTGTTGATATTTTCCTTTGCTCCATCTGCTGAAACTTGGAGCTAGTCCTGTGCTGCTGTTCTGTTCAGGAAGTCCTTGCCTAGCCTAATGGTTAATAGCCTAAGAGATTAGAATTTTATTATTGAAAACCTTTACAACGGCCACACTATTTAAATCAGCAATTTCATTTTTGAGAATATCCAGAAGAAATAATTGGAGACATGTAAATTATGACCACAGTGCTTATCACAGTATTTTGTTTTGGTTTCTTTTCTTTTTTTGGTGTTTTGAGACAGGGTTTTTCTGTGTAGCCCTGGCTGTCTTGGAAATGGATCTGTTGGCTAGGCTGGGCTTGATCTCAGGCCTCTGTACCTGAGTGCTGGGATTAAAGGTTTGTGCCACCACTGCCCAGCCGCACAGTATTGTTTTTTAATAGAAATTTAGAAACCACCTTATTGTTTAAAAATAATAGCCAATGCATTATAATATATTCATATAATGAAATCTACTTATTGTCCAAATTAGGACACATTTTTCTAATTGCAAGAATTAGAGAATACTTTGTAAACTGGACGTTTCTGCTTCAGTACTGGTGTATTTATTATTGTGCACCTCAATGATCTTGGAAATACAGAAGAGCTGATAGATAATAATTGGGTGCAGAACTCGTTTCTGTTCTCACTCTCTTGATATTAGTGGTTGTCCAACTTACTCAGTGACAGAACTCTGGAAGTATTCTTTGCAAGCCCCAGCGCCATACTTCCTCCAACAAGGAGGTCACACCTCCTAATCCTTTCAAGCAGGTCTGCTCCCTGGGGACCAAACATTCAAATAAATGAGCCTATGGGGGGCCATTCTTATTCAAACCACCACAACAGTCTTATCTCATGTTTTTCTCCTTTCCTTGTTCAAGCCGTTCTAAGCACTCTGACTCCAGGTTGTTCCTCTCCGGAAACCAGGAATCTCAATTTGCCTCAGGCCCTTTGTATCTGTCACCTGTTCCTCTATCTGAATACTCTGGGGCAAGCCAGGCTTCTTCACCTATCAACAGAGCCCTTACTCAATCAGCACTAATCCTTTACACTCTCCTGATGTTTACTCCATAGCGTTTATCATTCCCTGACACACTACCCGCGTTCATCCATTAAATTTGTCAACTTCTTGAAGGCAGAGAGCCTCTTTTGTTCTAGCCCTGCAGAAACCCCAGTGTTGTATCTAACACATACCGGGGCACCAGAGGTTTTGAAGGGATTAACGAAAAAACGTTTTTCTGTAAATTTAAGGACTCAGACAAATGTATTTCCTGCAATACTGTCTATGGTTCAGGATGAATTTTTGAACCTAACATTAAAGCAGCTGTTGCACTTACATACATTCCCCCTCCCCCATTTCCTTTTGGAGACAAGGTCTCCCTGAGAAGCCTAAGCTGGCCTTGAACTCGGCCTGTCTGCAGGTGACTACAGATGGCCACTATCATGTTACATATAGCTGTACTGGGAAAGTGGAGGTCTGATGCCAGCCTGTAGAGAGGCCTGATCTCAAACCCAAACGAACCAAACCCTTTCAGAAAGCTTCTATGACAGACGGCGAGGGCAGTCAGCTTGCTCACCCGGAGACGCTGAGTGAGACTCTCAGGATATATAATATTGGTTAGAAACGTGGTCTCCAAAACTGGCACATCAGCCACAAGGACTTTTCAACATTCATCTGCTCTCCAACTTCCTGATTCTGCTCTGGGGTGTGGCCTTGGCATCTCTGTTTAGAAAAAGATCATTTGATTGGCTTCCAGGTATGTAGCAACGTTGGAGAATCACCTTAAGAAGCTAAAAATAGCCATTAGGAGACTTCTTTCTCACCGGAGGAAGCCTATTTCTGGAGACCTTTGGAGGGGGGTGTGTGTGTGGGTGGGGGAGTGGGGGTTCTGCTCAGCTGCTCTCTGGAGTCACAGCCCTCTAGAGAACGCGGTCCATCAACACCTAGCACAGACCCAGGTGGCCCGCACCTCCTAGCTGGAAGGCCGCCGCGTCCGAGCGCGCGACAGGTGAAGCTCCCGCGGAGGCGCGCCCGTCGCTGGGGACGGCGTCGCCGCGGAGACGCTCGCGGGCCAGCCTCCTACCCTGGCACGCTTTCCCTCCCTTCTCCCCGCGCCACCGCCCCTTCGGCGCTAGCAGCCAGTTCCAGACCACAGGCACCCAGCCGCACCGACTTCAGGCTTTAAAATCTCCTTCCGAGCCGCAGAGCCCCGGCTCTGTCGCAACGCACCGCCCCGAGGCGCGGACAGGCTTCGCGGACGGTTCCGCGCGTGCGCGCGCGCGCGCCCGCCCCACTTCCCGCCTCCCCCCGGCGGACGTCGGTGCGTGCGTGCGCGCGCCCGCCCCTCCCGCCGCGCGACGCGAGGGCGGGGGCGCCGCGTGCGCGCGCGCTCTCGTGTGTTCGCTTGCTCGCTACCTCGCTCGCTCTCGGCGGCCGCTCTCGCTGTGGCTGCGGCTGAGGCTGGGGGCGGCGGCGGCGGCGCGAGCGGCGGGCGGCGCGGGGCGGTCCGGCGGGTTCAAAGAGGAAAACATGGCGGAAAACAAAGGCGGCGGTGAGGCAGAGAGCGGCGGCGGGGGCAGCGGCAGCGCGCCGGTAACCGCCGGGGCCGCCGGGCCCGCGGCGCAGGAGGCGGAGCCGCCTCTCGCCGCGGTGCTGGTGGAGGAGGAGGAGGAGGAAAGCGGCAGGGCTGGCGCGGAGGGCGGTGCGGCTGGGCCCGACGACGGGGGGGTGACCGCGGCCTCCTCAGGCTCGGCCCCGGCCGCCTCGGTCCCCGCGGCCTCCGTGGGCTCCACGGTTCCTGGGGGCGCGGCATCGACGCCGGCCCCGGCTGCAGCGTCGGCTCCGGCCCCGGCCCCGGCCCCGGGTCCCTCGTCGGGGCCGCCTCTCGGGCCACCAGCCTCGCTCCTGGACACCTGCGCCGTGTGTCAGCAGAGCTTGCAGAGCCGGCGTGAGGCGGAGCCCAAGCTGCTCCCCTGCCTGCACTCCTTCTGCCTGCGCTGTCTGCCGGAGCCCGAGCGCCAGCTCAGCGTGCCCATCCCCGGGGGCAGCAACGGCGACGTCCAGCAAGGTGAGCAGCAGGCCGCACCCTGGTGCGGGTCCGGTGACGCGGGCGGGGGTCCTGGGGCTGCTCGGAGGTTGCAGTGCTGAGAGGTTTCAGAGGCGAAAGGCACGGCCCCGGGGACGGTTACCAGAGAAGCTGCACCGCCGGAGATACGGGGAGGCAGAAGGGAGGGGTGCCGGCAGCGAGGGGCTGGGGGAGGGGATGCTGCGAGGGAGGTTTGAGGAGCTTCTGCAGAGGGTGGACTAACAGAGACAGAAAAGGGGTCTGCAAAACCCGCCGTGAGGAGTGTTTTTGGATGCAAGGACTCTGGTCCGGGCGAATTCGACGAGTGAGTGGCCAGAGAGGGGTGGGGATGGATTGCTTTGGAGAGGGGAATTGGCCTGTTCTCGGCTAGGAGAAAGAACTACCGATTAAATGATAATAAAAGGCATTGGAGACCTTAGGCTGAAAGAAGGCCCCACGATGACATTGCGATGAGGAGCTCGGTAAGTGATAATAGTTGTGAGGGGCCTGCATGGTCAGGGCAAATCCTTGGATTTGAGAATGAAAGGAACTTGGAACGGAAGAGAGTGTTAGGGAGAGTTGGGCTTACATTATTTCGTTTGTTATGCATTAATAGGCCCAAGAATTCAGGGCACTGTACTAGGACTGAATAAAATACTCAGGATTTCATTCAGTCTGTGTAACCTGCAGCAGTAGAGGTGGCTACCATGGTCGGGCATAATGGAGGGAAGGTCTGGGAAGCTTCCTGGTAAAGGAAGTCCTGGAGCATGTTTCTTGATGAGTGAGTACCTCGATTGGTTGCGCAGGGCACTTTCTACAACCCTTTAACTGAAGGATATGTAAGGTGATTGGTGGAAGTTAGATTTACTAATGGGCTCGATAGTTAAGGGATCTACCCTTCCAGTTTCTGAAACTGTTAGGTTTAGATGTGTTATGGATTTGAGATGCAGTATTGGAATTTTCCATTTCCTAGAAAGATCTCTTGTGTATTCATTATGAAACTATGTTTCTATATCGAAATTATTAAATACATTAATGGTAGATACATCCTACAATTAAATGAGTTAGGTTTTATGACAGCCTTGCTAAAAGGCATATAATTTCAAAGCTTTTTGAATGACTTTGGAACTGCCAGGAAGGAATTGTGGATTATGCCAAAGAGTTGATTGGGATTTACCCTGTAGACTAGAGGACTTTCCTGAAGGCGTCTCTTATGCTAGGCTGTCCTCAAACTCTACATAGTGTCTCGAATGACCCTGAACTTCTGATCCTACTGCTTCTGCTTCCTAAATTCAGGGATTAGCCATGTACCACTACTCCTATGTAGTTCTGATTGTAGTTGGGATTTTCTTTGGGGCGCCAACCAGCTCCAGAATAAAGACATGGAGACTTATTAATTATGAATGTTTGGCCTTAGCTTAGGCTTGTCCTGCTAGCTCTTATAACTTAATTTAACCTGTTTGTATTCATCTACGTTTTGCCTCAGAGCTTTTTACTTTTCTTTCATTCTGTATGTCCTACTTGCTTGCTTCCTCTGTGTCTGTCTGGCCTCTGCCCCTACCCCCAGTCCTCCTCCTTACTTTCCCTGCTGGGAAGTCCTGCCTATACCTCCTTCCTCACTATTGGCCATTCAGCTTTTTATTAGACCAATCAGGTGCCTTAAGCAGGCAAGGTAAAACAGCAATACATCTTTACATAGTTAAACAAATGAAACACATCTTTACATAGTTAAATATTCCGCAACAGCGGGTGATGGAATCCGGGATTTCATTCATGTTAGACAAGCACTTGACCAACTGAGCTAGCCCAGCTTCTGAAGAGTTTTTCTCTCAGGAGGAAAAAACATTCAGATTTGTGATCCAGAAAGATGACGTAGGGCACTTGGAGAGGGACAAGAAGAGGCAAAGCTTTAGGCAGGGGGACCAGTTAGAATCTTGACCATGATCTAGATGAGAAATTCTTTGGAATGGGCAGTAAAAACTGATACCAGATGTTATAAAAGGGCACATTTGGTATTAGGGTAGGTATTGGCTTTATGAGAAATGCTGAATTTGGGTTTTTTCCCTAGGGTCATTTCCTAAGAAATTGAAGAGATGAATTCTTCTCTTCTCTTCTCTTCTCTTCTCTTCTCTTCTCTTCTCTTCTCTTCTCTTCTCTTCTCTTCTCTTTCCCTCCCCTCCCCTCCCTTCCCCTCCCTTCCCCTCCCCTCTTCTCTTTTTTGAGACAGGGTTCCTGTGTGTAGCCCTGGAACTTACTTTGTAAACCGGGATGGCCTTGAACTTGGGACCCTTCTGCCTACTGAACACTGGGATTAAAGGTGTTCACCACCATTGGCCAGCCAAAAATAAAGTTCTTAGCTGAGTGGTGGTGTATACCTATAATTCCATCACTTAGGCTGAGGCATGGAGGATTGCTGTTTCGTCCAAGGCCATCCTGGTTTACATAGTTAGTTCACAATGAAATGCTGTCTACAAATACAACAACAAATAAATTAAAATCTGGGGGCTGGAGAGATGGCTCAGTGATTAAGAGGTCCCAGCGCCCACATGGCAGTTCACAACTGTCTGTAACTCAAGATCTGACATCCTCACACAGTCATACATGCAGCAAAACACCAATGCAAATAAAAATAAATAAAAATTTAAATTAAAATCTGAGTTTTGGTTGATGGAGATACTAAATGATAATAGGTATAAAGAGGATAACTGCTTATGGCCCCTAAGAGCATAATAAGACACATGAGATTCAGTGTTCTTGTGAAAGCCTGTGTTAGGGGAGACATTTAGAGGGAACCAAAGATGCAAATGTATCTGATTAACTGAGGGACTGAAGTTACAAAGTTGGTTCTCTGAAATTTGTGCAGGAGAGAGAATAATCTGTAAATTCCTTCAATTCTCTTCCCTTTTGTTTTTGAACTAAAATAAGTGGAAAGGAATAAACACAGTCACTTCTAAGTAGTGCTGCTTTCTAAGTAATTTTGTTTTCTGAGGAGAATCTAAAACAAATTGAGTATTGAATCAGCCATTTTTAGGCAGACAATCTAGGAAATATTTTGTCAGTAACTTATATGTGCCCTTTACATTTCATAGCACAGTTAGAAATCTAATTTTTTTACTTGCTCATCTCTATTTTCTGTTAGACTATTGCAGAATGTGTGTTCAATAAAGGACTTTTGAGCAAATAAGAATTATCTAAAAGCCAGGGGCTGGTGGCACATGCCTTTAATCCCAGCACTTGGGAGGCAGAGGCAGGCAGATCTCTGAGTTCGATGTCAGCCTGGTCAACGGAGTGAGTTCCAGGACAGCTAGGGCTATGCAGAGAAATCTTGTTCAAAAAAACAAAAAATCAACTTCCTAATGCTTCAACCCTTTAATACAGTTCCTCTTGTTGTGACCCATAAAATTATTTTTGTTGCTATTTCATAACTGTAATTTTTTTTTTTTTTGGTTTTTCGAGACAGGGTTTCTCTGTAGCTTTGCGCCTTTCCTGGAACTCGCTTTGGAGACCAGGCTGGCCTCGAACTCACAGAGATCCGCCTGGCTCTGCCTCCCGAGTGCTGGGATTAAAGGCGTGCGCCACCACCCGCCCGGCCATAACTGTAATTTTAATACTGTTATGAATCCATAATGTAAATATTTCTGGAGATAGAGGTTTGGCAAAGGGGTCATGAGCCACAGGTTGAGAAACTGATCTAGAGGGACTGGAGAGATGACTAGTTAAGAGCACTGATTACTCTTACAGATGACCAAAGTTGGTTACCAGCATCAAGGGAACCCACCAGGGGGCTTTCAACTGCCTGTAACACTGCCTGTAGCTCTAGCATGGACACAGACACGCACACACAAATCTTTTAAGATATGAGTCATCTGCAGAGCTTATTAAATATTGATTTTTGGGATTTTTTTCAGAAATTTGATTTGAGATTGACTCCATGTAACTATACCTTTTTTTTTCTTTTTTAAATAAATCCAGCTCTAGAGGGATTCTTTTTTTTTTAATTTATTTAACTTTATTTTTATGTATATTGGTGTGAAGGTCTCCTGGAACTGGAGTTACAGACAGTTGTAAGCTGCCATGTGGGTGCTGAGAATTGAACTCAGGCCCTCTGGAAGAGCAGCCAATGCTCTTAACTGCTAAATCATCTCTCCAGCCTTGTAACTACACCTTTTTAAAATAGAATTATTTGTGGGGTGTTTTGCCTGCCTGTATATCTTTGCATGTGTGTGCCTGTTGCCTTTGGCCAGAGGAGGACATCAGTTCCCCTAAAACTGACTGTGAGTCATCATGTGGGTGCTGGAAATTGAACCCAGCTCCTCTTGAAGAGCAGCCAGTGCTCTTAATAGCTAAGCCATCTCGACATTCCTTTTATTTACTTATTATTATTATTATTACTACTACTATTTTTTAATTTAACTGTACCTTTTTTTATTTTCAAGTGGGGGAGGTTGGATTCAGGGCCTTTATCATTTAAGGCGAGCCTTCTACTACTGATTTTACCTCCACCTCTTGTATCTGCACTTTTATTATTGTTTTTGAAACAGGATCTCATGTAGTCCAGGCTGGTCTCAGACTTGCTTGTATCTGAGTATGGTCTTTAACTCTGATCTCCCAAGGACTAGGATTATAAGCATGTGCCACCAGATTGGGCTCTGTACACACACTTTTAAAATGCTCCTCATGTGATTCTGGTGCAGGTAATATCTACCAGACTTTGAAGAACTTGGACTTTAAAATTTTAATTTTTATCTTGTGAGTGTTGTATCTGGATGTATATGTGCACACCATGTGCATGCAGTGCCCATGGAAGTCAGAAGAAGGCATTGGATCCCCTGGAAGTGGAGTTATAGGAAGTTATGAGCTGCTAAGTGGATGCTGGGAATTTAACCTGGGTCCTCTACAAGTGCAGTAAGTGTTACCTTGCCTGCTCCTGGATTTAAGTATTTTGAGAAACAAGTTTAATTTAGTGTTAGAGCATTGGAAAATCAAACTAGTTCATAATGGTT